TGTGTAATGTGTTTTTTTGAATTCAGAAATACAGCAAATTACAGACTAACTTGACATTGCCTTTGTCTTCATTATAAGACAGTGTTATATAACTAGCATACTAACATTAAATTTATGCTAGGTGCTACATCTGCCTAAATGAAATTATTTTGATGATTCTGTAGACTATAGAGAGAACGCCTAATCTTTACATTCACTTCTGATATTTTTTCATACCTCCTCTGTCTGAGTTAGAGATTGGCAGTATCCTCAGGGTGTCTGCCCTTGACATCTAAAAGGTTTATTTGAGAACGAGATTGTTTACTCTCATCTCCTTTGTTCTATTAGATTTTGTTACTCTTATGTACATATTATATTTTCTTTGGAAAGATGCTTTAGGAATTTTAGTATGTCTTGCAAACTTAAGAAGTAATTCATTTCCAGAATTTCTTCTTTTAGGATTATTTCTTTTATTGGGCATACATTTTCCCCCCCTATGTACACTACACACAAAGAGATTCTAATCATTCATTTAAAATAATCAAAAGGTATTTCTGTTAAAATTATTTCCTGATATGTCCTAGCATTTTAGCTTTGTTCTCATATATATGTATTTTGGTTCTCATATATATGTATTTGGAATAAATAAGTAAATATCACACACACAAATATATATACATATATATGTTGTGTTTGAGAAACACACACACATATGTATACACTTCACAGATAGATAGTGTGTATGGTTTTTTGTTTTTTTTTTTTAAGAATGATGGTCACTTTGGAGCAAGGAGTTTTTATGTTTCAGCTTCATTTGTTATTGTTCATTACTGAGGTTGAATGGTAAGGCACAGAGTATTTAAGAGAAGAATGGTGTTGTTCCCCCTGGGACACTGGAATGGAAAACCCCAAATCAAGCACATGACTCTGGAAGTTGTCAGGCACAAAGAAGAGACTACCCCGTCACTTGTAGGATCTCTTGAAAACTGGAATGGGCAGGCCCTTGAACCCACTTGTATTTCCATGGCAAACCACCCATTCCATGCTGTTCTTCAAACCCATTGTAATTTGAGGTCTTGCATAGTTTAATTTTTAAAGATCCTACTACTGGAGAGGTTCTGGTCATTTTTGCCAAATGTGAGAGCTTTCATAGCTTTTCAACTGAACTCCTGTTCCCTAGGCTTCCTGGCTCACTCAGTGGCCTTGGGTTCATTGTGGCCTACAGTCCAGTCTTATTTATTTTAAAAAACATTGTATTTTGATATTATTGTTCCATTAAAAAATAGAATTTTAGAGGTTAGCAATCACCTTAGAAATCACAGCTTTCCATCACCTTAGTTACTGTATGAGTTGCTTCACTGGTAAAGGACCATAAATTACAGACATTTATTTTAAGATCACAGGGTTAGAAGCATCGACTGGCTTCAAGGATAACTACAATCCAGTGCTCCATAAATAAAGGGTGCTCCTAACCTATCTGTACGTTGCTTATGTCACAGGGATGCCCAGCGCCTCCTTGCCGGTTCACCACGCTCTGATTTCACTTCATCTGCTCCCCCTAGAATCCTCACCCACACACTAGTTTAGAATTATTGCTGTATTTGTCACTAAGTGGAATCCGAGTTGAATTTTTGCAGGTTTCCCCCCTACATCTGCCTCTTTGATGGTAGCTGAGTTTACGGCCACTCACTTATTAGAGCCCTGGGTCTTAACAACCTTATTCAAACAAAACATCTTAAATGGAGGCGTTAAACAGGTCGCAACAGTGACCATTTTGTAACTTTTGCTGCAATAAAATGGGTATGTTGTGTTTTGGAATATAAGACCTCTGAGTGCAGCTATTCATTTTCTTCATCTATAAAACATTTTAGAATAACAGCTTACATCTGTTTGGGGTATAAAATTCCACATTTTGAAGAAACATCACTGTTGTGTAACTCCACACCAGACCTGGGCCGAGAGGGGAGCCGGCTCTCATAGGCCCCGTCTGCCTGGCTGGGGGAGGCCGGAGCGGATGTGCTGGCCACCTTCCTTTCACATATGTGCAGCACATTTCCATTGTTGTTCCTTCCTACTATAAGTGACAGCAAGTGTGTAACACGATTCTGACTTGAGGAATGTTGGAGAAATTTTCACACACAAGGAGTTTATCTCATGAGGGTCTTTCACTCCTAGAAGCCAGAAATAAGTTTAATTAGCAAAGCCTTTATAGTACCGTTAATTACCTTTGACAGTCAGTTGATCTTGTTTTGTTTGGGTTTACTGTCGGCTCACTTTTAAAAACAAATACCCAGTGGAATCATTTTGCCATTCCAAATGTGTCGTTTTTAAATTACCTCTTTAAACTGAAGGGTCAATTTAATAAGTAAACATTAATAGAGGAAAATGGGCAAAATGTTCATCCATAGAATTCAGAATCTAATAGTATTAAGTATTGAGCAAATTCAGACAATTTTATGGGTTATTTTCATCAAGAAATGAAAAACTGTCAAAGATGGTTACAATGAATTTTTAAAAATAACTTTATTTACTTATATTTTATGTGGTCCTGAAGATCGAACCAGTGCCCCAACATGCTAGGCAAGCGCTCTACCACTCCTGAGTCACAATTCAGCCCTGCTGCAATGAATTTTAAAGCTCTTTTCATTTTATTCTTATTAAAATGTAATATTGTTACATCTGAGATGGCAAAATCCCAAAGGAGAAGATTAAAATTATCTGTAACCCCTGTTGTTCTTGAGGGTAATTTTTTTTACATATTTTGAATTTTTAAAAAAATTAGAAAAGCTTTAGAAACCCATTGTACAGTCAGTTTTTTGTTTGTTTTGATAATTAATTTAATTGGAAATACAGCTCTGTGGTTTCAAATTGGACAGTGTCAGATGCTTTTATGTTTTGGTGACCAAAAGAACCAAACTAAATTTGACTGCTCTTGTGGAACTTTGACATTCAGGGTGGGGTAGCTGCTTATTGATGACAATGACAAACTTCTCTGAGATTCTGGCTTGTCAGATTAATCCAGGTAGTGACATTGATTTTTCTTTCTTTCTTTCTTTTTTTTTTTTTCTCTCACTGCTGTTTCCTTCCTGAATAGAAGTCAGATTTTCTTTCTAGGGCCACTGTCTGTCAAACTCAGGGCCATCATTTGCTCTAGCCGAGTTGCACAGATGTTGCTGGGCTCTAAAATTCTGATTAATATAAATACTTCAGTAACAACTTTATTGCCCTAGTTCATGTGAAGGTCAATACTTGTTAATTCCTCCAAAATCATGGAGACATACACATGTGCCAAGTTCATGTTTACTTATCACTTGGAACTGAGCTGAATGCAGAGTGACAATAATGGGGACATGGCAAGCCTGTGGGTGTCATAGCTGCTGGGCACGGTTTGGTGGCCAGTGACTGGATATTATGTAAACTCATTGGCAGCGGGGGTTGGGGGGGGAGTTCAGGCATTTTTATTTTAAGAAATATGGAGGTGATTTCTGTTTTTAAATTTCTAAAAATTTAATTAAAAGCAGGAGATTGTACTATGAGTGAGTTTGTATGCAGATAAATCCAGTTAGATATCTTTTGCATTGATTGATTCTCTGAAGTCAGAAGGTCCGACTTAATCACTGCGTGTCTTAAGCCAAGTTACATAACTTCTCTGAACCTCAGTCTCTGTAAGAGGGGATTAGGAATGATAGTGTTTGATAGGATTGTTAAGGAGATTCAGTGAAGTAAAACTTAGGTGGCTCTTGGGAATTCTGGCTCTATGGTTAGAAGGCTCACTGTAAATCTGACTCTGTCTGGACCACTCATACTCCATTAGTACAGACTGCTCGTCTCCCTGACCGCGCTTGGGGCTGAATCTGGAGCTCAGGCCTACTTGTCCCTTGTCCCTCTCCCTCTGCACTCCTCTAGCATCACCCAGTGTGCCTTCGCGAGGCCTGTAGCCCTCCCTCTGCTGTCTGACTGTGCTGCTCCCTGTCCTCCTGCAGGTGGCTCTGCTCCTCTCTCCCTCCCTCCATCTCCCGTTCCTTGTTCCCTCATCCTCTCCTCCCAGCAAGCTCCTCTTTTCCTGTCCTACTCTCTCCTTCCTGTGCCCCTCTCCTCCCTTTTCCTCTCACTTTCTCTCCTCTGCTGCCTTCTTCCTCTCCCCTCCTCCTCTCTCCCCTCCCTCGTTTTCCCCTCTCTTCTTTCTTCTTCTTCCCTCCTCTCCCCTCGGCCTTCTGCCTTCCTGCCCTCTTTGTGTGCTCTCTCCTCCAGCTCTTCCTCCCTCCACCCTGCATCTTCTCTGTTCCTCCATTCAGTCCCGACACTCGGCCTGCTCGTGAGTAGACAGCTGTCCCTCTTAAGCAGAACAATGTCATGTCCTCAAAGTCTCTGTGACTTTTATTTTTATTTTTTGGTACTGGGGATTGAACCCAGGGATGCTTGACCACTGAGCCATGTCACCAGCCCTTTATTTATTTGTTTGTTTGTTTGTTTGTTTTTGTGGTGCTGGGGATTGAGCCCAGGGCCTTGCACATGTAAGGCAAGCACTCTACCGACTGAGTGACATCCCTTGCCCCATTTTTTATTTAGGTTGCTTTATAGTCTCACTATGTTGCTGAGGCTGGGTGTGAGTGAGCGTGCGATCCTCCTGCCTCAGCCTCCCTAGCTGCTGGGATGACAGGTGTGTGCCACGGTCCCCGGCCTTCGTTACTTTTGGTAAGCAGCATTGGCTGTTGTCAGAGCAGCCACCTGTCCCTATCCCAGTTGTGCTTTTCTTTCTAATTCACAGGCCTTCATGGTGTCTCTAATTTTACGTTTGCTGGGCTCCAAGAGTTGAGAGGACCTACAGTTAAAGTTTAGTTCTTTTTCTAAACATGCGTACTACAGCCTGTGAATTTGTTTAATGTTGGCTTTGATTCATACATAAAATTAACATGAAGTATGTCTCTAAATAATAATTATGGACTTTTATAATAACGCCAGGAAACTGCTGCTTTTTATCAACCTAATGTTTGATATTTTTTTCCCCTTTCTCTCCCCAGATTCCTTTCTCTTTGGTCCAGTTTCCCTTGTGGGAATTCTTAAAAGTAAGTTTTTAAATCTTTATATGAAATCTATTTCTAATTTTTCACAAATGCCCAACAGTTTGTATGGAATCAAAGAATGTAATGTTGACCATAAGTGTGACAAAGTCAGAGTCACTGATAGTTGCAAAGATGTTTTACACGTGACTCACACCAGTTGAGGCTTGCTTCAGGTACCTGTGGTATTGGAAATAAGCTCAGCCAATGTGACCCACACCCACAGATGGTGAGAAGCAGCTTCGCTTTACTCTTCGATATTGCCATTCTTTCTTCATCCAGTTGAATATTATTTCTCCCTCTGTATGTGCAGAGGATAAGGAATAACAGTGAGGGTGAGTGGAGGAGAGAGGATGACCCCGAGTATTTGAAGGCCCCCACTCCTGTGTCCAAGCAGGCAGGAGGGTGGGCAGCAGAAGTGCCTTGGGACTCTATCTTTCCATCTCTGCTACTGATTCCTAATAAGACCGTGAGCCAAGGTAGCAAGTGTAGAGACCACTGGCTCATTTGTTTAGAAAGAAACAAAGTTTTCAAGATCTACATTAAAAATATGCGTAGAGGTCTCATTAGGTTTCCATAGTCTGGGGCAGTGATACTGAAATTTGCATGGATCTTTGTCAGCCTTGTAAAGACCTCAAAAAAGAGAAACTATAAAGAGCATGTGTGTGGTAAGTAGTAAGGATAAGTAGTAGTTTGTAAAGCTTTAGTGAGGTGCACGTGTACATGCACACACGTCTGTGCTGGGTTGCAGTGGTGAGATGTGTTTCTTATTGGAATAAGGTTCAGAAAATATCGAAGGCCCTTTTTCAACTGAAGGGTTCATGAAGGATCAAACTGTAAAACGGCGAAGTATCTAGTGTAGACATTAGCCACCCCCCCCCACACACACAAATTGTCCCCACCATTTTACAGACCTACTCTTCATGGAGTGCTCATACAAATTATCTTTTGAAAAATATTATAAACATTTCTTGGACTCTGAAATAAATTCTGTTGACGATACCTACTAAAGGATAGTAAATTGAGACAAAGCTTTGCTCCTTTAAAAGATGAGCTCCAGGATATCAAGTATTAAGGAAGATTTCTTCTGAGTGATCTGATTTTATGGGGCAATACTGCCCAATATGGTTTTGGGGGTCTTCTGTTGAGGTTGAGTTTGTTTTATTTTTACCCTTCCTGTGTGGTACATGGTGAAAATAGATTTCTCGGGCAGTGTTTCAGGGCGTGATGCAACCCCTCTCCAGTGAGAAGGTCACATTCCTCCAGCATACCAGCTCTCCTTCTCAGTGTGTGACAAAAGAACAATGAAGCCAGCAGCTGTGCTGCAAACAAGACTCACTTATTAGTGCCTCAATGACCATCATTCAGAGGGAATCTGCACACCCTGACATCCCGACACCCCAACTCTGAAAAGGAATGTTTTGAGGCTCAAAGAGGAAAAAGGCATGCGATTTCTTTCTTTTCAATAGTGAAGACATTTGTAGTATTCTTGTTTCTTAAGAAATGTCTAGAATTTTTCAGAGCAATCAGAGATAACAATGCAGTGTTTCAAAATCTTTCTTTTAGCATATGTGAAGATAGAATATTTTTAATTTGAGTTTCTTGAGGAATAATGTACAGTAAACCTCACCCTTGAAAAGTGTGATTTTTTTTTTAATGAGTTTTGACAGATGTTTAGGACCACACCATAACCAAGAGAGAGCATCTCCACCAGCCCAGATGGTCCTGCCTGCCACTTACTAGTCGGTGCTGCCCCAACCCACAGCCCCTGGCCATCCCTGTTCTTGTAGTTTCCCCTTTTCTAGAATGTCATGTAAATTGACAGTGTGTGCACACAGCAGTTAGTGCCTGGATTCTTTCACTTGATTTATTACATTTGAGACTCTTCATGTTGTTTCTTGTGCCAGTGTTTGTCCCTTTTTATCACTTTACACTATTTCATTTGTTTATGGATGAACACAATATGTTTATCCATTCACTAGTTGATACACATTTGCACTGTTTCCAGTTTTTGTTGGTTATGAATAAAGCTACTATAAATATTTGCTGAGAGTATTTGTATGGACATGTGCTTTATTTCTCTTGGAAAATAACCTAGGAGCGGTATTGCTGGGTCAGAAGTAAAGTTTATATTTGATTTTTATAAGGAGCTATCAAATGCCTCCCAAAGTAGCTGTGCCCTCTTGCATTCCCAGCAGCCAAGTGGAGTTTCAGTTGCTCCTTGATACTATTACATGTTACTATTAGGTTTTAAGATTTCAGCCAGTCCAACAGTTGTATACAGCATCTCATTGTGGTTTGATCTGCAGTTCTCTCATAGCTGAACACCCTTGAGAGTCTTTTCACCTAATAGGGTTTAAAAAAAAACAACATCTGAATGTGAGATCACAGTCCTTTGGTAGAAATGGATAGTTTTTGGCATTGGTTTTATTTTTGTGTTTATAATATTATCCATTTAAACTTGGTTTTGCAACCATGGAGCGAGATCATATTATCTGGGAGGGTTTTTCTGTTTGTTTGTGTGGGAGTAGACTAAGGGAACTCTCTCAGCCAGGACCTTAGTGGTACACACTGTACCTTGGAGGCTGAGGATCTGGATGTAGAAGGTGGCTACGTTATCCTAAACTTGACTCTCGTCTGAGATCTGAATTATCATCCTTCAAAAATCTCTTCCATTGGGCTGGGGTTGTGGCTCAGTGGTAGAGTGCTTGCCTAGCATGTGTGAGACACTGGGTTCAATTCTCAGCACCACATAAAAATAAATAAATAAGCCGGGTGCAGTGGTGCACACCTGTAATCCCAGCAGCGTGGGAGGCAGAGGCAATCGGATCCCAAGTTCAAAGCCAGCCTCAGCAAAAAGCGAGGCCCTAAGCAACTGAGACCCTGTCTCTAAATAAAACACAAATTAGGGCTGGGGTTGTGGCTCGGTGGTCAAGTGTCCCTGAGTTCCGTCCCCGGCATCCCCCAAAATCAATCAATAAATAAATTAATTAATTAAAGTTATTATATCCAGCTTAATCATGCTCCTATTCTCTTGACGACCTGGTCGAAGCACCAGATTAAAATACGATTCTCTTATTTCTCTTTCTCCCTATCCTGTTACTCACTAAGTTTCATTGAATGACTTTTTGGATCCTGTGGCCACCTGTTATCAGATTCCTGCGACATTGTGTCAGGCCAGGTCCCAACAGGTTCTCTACCTACTCAGCCATTTTACACATTGAACATATGTGATCTTCCTTAAATGTCTCTTTGAAGCAACACTTACATCCTCAGAAACTTAGGACTTTCTCAAACTCTGCAGCTTGAAGTTATGGTGCTTGCGGATCTCCACGCTGTGTCCTCAGTGGTTTTCCAGCTCCTTCCCCTGTGTTTCCTTTGGAAAAAGCCTTTCCCCTCCAGCCTGCTCACTGCTCTGAATGCCCTCCCTGGTCTTCAGTCTTCTCTGAAATGTGCTCCAAGGTCTGAGTGGGATGCATTTTTGAAAAAGCTCACTCCAGTGAACTTTGAAAGCCCAGTGACTGCTTGAAGTTCTCAGCCCAGGTGTTGCAGACTGACCCTTACCTCACATTTGTCTCTATTTCTGGTTACTGTTTGATCACAGGCTATATGGTGTACAGGCATCTTAGAACCAAGCTTTGCACACTTGGCCAAGGCCGTCCTTTACAGGTCAGTGACATGCAGCCCGCACATTTTTATTGCCTACTCTGTGCTGGATGTTGTTGGGCCTCACAAGAATGTGAAGGTGAGCCTGTAAGGAGCTTAGAACTCTCATACAGGCACTCAACCCACAGATCACTGAAATGCCCTGAAGAATACCCAAGGTAATGTGGGAACCACCCCCTATCCCTGTAACTATACTTCTGTTATGGTTTAGATATGAGATGTCCCCTAAAAGCTCATGTGTGAATGTGCAGAGGTAAAATGACTAGCTTATGAGAACTGTGACCTAATCCTCCATTGATGTGGATTAACTGACTCTTAATGTAGCTAACGGTGTGGCTGGAGAAGTAGGCCACCAGTGGCTTGGGGTTTATGTTTTGCCCCTGGTGGGCAGAGCGCCCTCTGTGTTTCCTGGTCGCCAAGGCCCAAGCTGCTTTCCTCCTCCAGGCCCTCTTGCCATGATGCTTGCCTCACCTCAGGCCCAGAGCAGTGGAGCTGCCGGCCACAGACTGTGCTCTGAAGCCATGAGCCAGAAGAAACTTTTCCCCCTCTAAAGTGTTCTTGTCAGGCCTTTTGGTCATGGCAGTGCCAAAGCTGACTAAAACAATCACCTCATGTTTAAGTTTTTATTTAACAAGACGGGGTACTGAGGAGGAGAAGGTAAATAAAAGGGGTAGATTATCATATCCAGATCCTCAGGAGGTAATTTCCCCTTAAGAAATGTTTACGTTGAAACTTTGTGGCAGCCACCAGAAGAAAAGCATGATGACAAAGTCCATAGCTTATCATTTCTTCTTCCCTGGGCTTTGGGTGCCATCATTATGATACCAGCTTGTACTTCCTTCTCATGGCAGCTGAGGACAGCCAACTACTGGGTTGACGACATCACTAAAGATGTCTCAAGGTGGCCAGAACAGAAATGTCAGCTTTTAGTACCTTCCCTGACCTGCTTCTTCCCGGCTATCCAGGTCTCAGTGAGTAGCACAGTGTTGCTTGCTCATATGGAATCCCAGGATGATTCCCGAGTTTCCTTTTCCCTGTCTCGGTCCATCCCCCCAGCAGGTGTGCTGTCTGAGCCCGGCCTCTTAACTCCCCTGTCTGACGGCTGCACTGGCCTCCCAGATGTCCCTTGGTTTTCTCTTGAGCCCCTAGGATATTCTTTCTGCACAGGGCAACCAGAGTGGTGTCTAGTGAAGTCATATCACACTGCTCCCCACTGAAATGTCTCATTGACATCTTTTTAAAAGAAGCATAGCCAGGCACAGTGTACGCCTGTAATCCCGGGTACTTGGCACGCTGAGGCAAGAGGATCAGAAATTTGAAGCCAGCTTGGGCAGCTCAGC